GAGCGGGAGCAGGTGAGGGCGCGGGGGCCAGGCAGCGGGCGGAGGGCGGAAGGCGGGCGCGAGGCCGAGCGCTGGGGTGTGTCCGCGCGTCGGGACCCCGGAGTCCCCGAGGATGGGTCCCGGCTACCAGACCCAAGGCAGGAGCGTAACAAAGAGAAAAGTCTTCCTTTTCCAGGTTCTCATCGATCTACTTGAGTAATAATTTCTAAAGCGGGTCTTGAACTTCTCGTCTGAACTCCTCGGCTGATTGTAGCGGCTTAATTCTGGATCAGGGTTTTAAAAGTCTTAGGCATGTTTGTGCCTCTCGGCATATAAAGTGCAAGACTTGCCAGATAACTTTGGCGAGAAGGCGAGTAGGGAAGGACTGTTTGGTGGTGATGACTTGTTTTTGGAGTATAGAGTGTTTACTCTGGAAAAAAGAATTCTTGGGTCTGCAAATTCCGACTTGTGATTTCTGCAAATCCTGATGAGATTGGCAGCTCTTGGCATGCTCGTCTTATTTTCTTTTTTGCTGAGAAGGCCTTATAATAATAGCGTGTGCTCGCAAACACGTTTAAAACACTCCGTGTGCTCCAAGTGACAACTGCTGTATGCCTGATGGTTGCTGACAGATTTTTTAAGTTTAGGACATGATAGAAATTTTACTCCGAAAATAGTTGTCTGTTTTGTTTCTAGGACATTTTATATTCGAGTTCTACGCATAAATGTTCAGGAGAAACATGCGTTTCCTTTAATCCTATAGATCTATGTATTATTCTAAAAGTGTCATATACTGTTTTAGTGATTGTTTTATTTCAAAGCATCATTGGCAAAATTACATGTGGTGAGGACTTTATGCAACAAGGGGGAAACCATAGGATTCAGAATTAAAGTGTATAAGAAACTTCTGAGAAAGGATGTGAAAACATTAAAATGAATTCACAAATCTCAGACTGCCTTTTGAAAACCTGAACAGAATTTAGTATGTACCTGTATTTTATTTCAAAACAAAGTTATTTTTGTAGAAAAGCAAAATATCTCCTAGTATTTTCCTTCAATAGCTAATTATGAATTATCTGTTTAGTAGTTAGATAAGTTATAATTCCAGACCCAGCTACTTTTCAAATTATTTAATACTATTTTACACCTGAAACAGACCACCCAAAACCATCTCAAATTTCTGCTTACCCATTCAGACATTCATAATTTTATAACATTTGGTAGCAAAAGCTGTACATAACTGAAAATTAAGAGGCATAAATCATTGATAATTTTGTAAGTTATTAGGCAGAACATTATTTTAATACAGGTTTTAAATAAATAACCAAAAAGCAAGCTATTCTTATGGATCTAAGGCAAAATGCATCTGATACACCCCCCCAGCTGTTTCAATTACATTATAACAGCTGCCAAAATAAAGAGAAAACATTTTTTTTAATCCCTGATGCTGTAAAACATTTCAAATCTCAGGGACAATGGAAAAGTTTTATTCTGTTTGCTTCATCAGAGCATAAGTTAATGATTAAGTTATATAGTGTAGTATCTACTGCCTTGAAGGCATAGTTCTGTTATTTGTAGTAAAGAGAATACCATATTTGAATACCCCAAGACAAATACTCATTTTTTCTCTTTATATACACAATATCTTGTCTCTTCATTTATGATTTAATCTGTCCTATTACAAGTTACCATAATTTGTATATAATATTGAAATTCACCCCCTCATCTCTTTAAAGGGTACTTAGTGTATATGATATGTATATATAATCTTTTTAAAGTTATACAAACTCATGGCTCAGCAGGCAATTTTCTAATTGAAAGCTTATTTTTTAAGGCACTCATCTCTCGATTTTTTTTCCATTTTGCCTCAACTGTTTGGTTTATACCCTGACATAGCAAAGAGCATTGAAAACTGCAAGTAGAGCCCATGTCTTTTTATAATATTTATTTTCTATTCCCCTTTAGTATGGTGTTTTTACCTTCCGACAGCACTCAGCAAATGCTGTTAATTAACACGGTGCTTTAGGTAGTTCTAGTTTTCTTTTTCCCTCTGGCCTTCTTTTATTTCTTGTTTTTAGCTTTTATTTTTCCAGGCATCCGGGGATAACCAGAGCCCAAAAAGCAAAACAAAATCCAAACTCAACGAAAACAACAGAAAACCGTGGTTGGGTCCTAATTAGAGATACAGCCATGTATGTAATTATAGCATGCGTGTAATCTCCTTAAGAGCAGCGACGGCTTATGATTCGTCTTAGGTGTCTCTAAAGGCCCACTACTAAGAGACGTATTACACTTATTTGGAATGTAATTATAAAATGTTACGCTTGGCAAAGCCTAGTGTAATAACTAAACTGTATCTCTAGCTCTCCCACCCCCCAGCCCTGAGTGCCCATCACCTCTGGGGCTGAGACGCAGTCAGAAAAGCGGAAAAGAGCAAGGTACGGGGAGTGAGGAATCCCTTCCCAGCTCAGCCTGTCCTAGTGTGGAGCTGAGAAAGCCGCTTCTCTCGAGGCCTCGGTTCTGTATCTGCCAGATGAGAGGGTTGGGGGCTGACTCTGCCCCTCTGCGCGGGTCCCTGCCCAAGTTCAGGGTAGCCAGCCACGGCCGAGCCTCGCTGTACGATTCATCCTGGGGGTCAGCCTCTGTTCAGAAGATAACGGAGGGTGGGTACCGTTCCGGGATTTTGCAAATATCCGCGATTTTGTAGACTCATGTAGGGGGAAAAAACCCAGCCAAAAGTAAACTTCCCTGCTGCCGTTAATGCCCAGTATGCTTCAGCCCAGGCATTACCACCAACAGGTGTGTTTTTAAAAGTTGTTAAGTTGGTATTTCGGGGGTCCTGAGGCTCCAAATCGGGAATCAAATGGACCCCGCCCAAACCTCGCCTTCGCCTGTGGCGCTGGTGCTGGGTTCTTTAAATGTTCCCTCCGGCGTCGGCGGGGGCCCGTCCTAGCCTAGCGCGTCCGTCCGGAAACGGGGCCGCAGGCGGAGGGTTCCGGGGCCTCCGAGGCTGCTCGTTGTCCCGGCAACGCCGCCTGCTCTTCCGGGGGGAGGACGCGGGACGAGTCCAAGCCCTAGCTCTCCGCAGTCCTCGCGGCTTCATGGGCATGCTGAGCTCCGTCCGCCCGTAGTTAACTCAGGATGGCGTTTAAGGCCTCGCCCACCTCCTGTTTCGGGCCACGGCCCCGCTTAGGTGAAGGCTCACCGCCTCTTTAGGCGTCCCCACCCGAAGAGGGCCCAGGGCCACGCTTTTCAGAACTTAAACACGCTCGCGGTGGTAATCCGATAACAAGCATTTGTTGGCTCTTTTATAATTCGTTTATAAATAAATCAATCTGGTGACGTAAATATTTATAAATCAGAAAAGGTTTATTTAATAAATGCTTGTTAAATGTTCACCTTGTTTGAACCTCACAGCTGCTACATGTTATAGGAGATTATTCCATTCGGGTTCAGGGTTAATTTGCCTAATTGGGACTGAGACTTGAATTTAGCTCTTTGGGAGTTTTTTTGTTTTTTGTTTTTTGCAATTATCTCACTTAAGGACTAAAGAGCTCCGACATTCGGAGTAGCGGGGAGCCAAAAAGTTAACTATGAAAAAAACAAAACTTTATTTAAAATGGAAAGAGGACCACTAATGCTAGCTACTAAATTTGGGTTTATAGTAATGCCAACCATTATCTCATTTAATCCTGAAGGTAGCCACACATTGTCACCACTATTTGTGGGATTGAGTGAGGGGTGGAGTCTGACCCAGGGCATAACGCAGCTCTGATGATAAACTTCCTCACTGCCTCCCAGATCCTGCTAATGCCTTATTTTTCCAGAGGCGAGGGAAAGCTAATTCCTTAGATACAGCTTTATTGGTTTTTATTTTTAAAAACAAAGCCGGAGTAACCGGTGTTCCTTTTCCCCCAGCACTGGCGTGGGTGCTCCCATCACCTGGTCTTTGGAGACTTGGTTGCTTTTTGATGGCGGCAGCAGCTGCTGGGTGAGCAGCCGGAGACGGTACAGTACTCCCGTCGGGACAGGATCGCTTTCTCTCGCCATCACCACCACTGGATTGGTGGCGGCGCTTTTCCCTTTTTACCCCTCCACTCTTGAAGGGAGAAGAAGATGCCACTACCATTTGGATTGAAACTAAAACGCACCCGGCGCTACACGGTATCCAGCAAGAGCTGCCTGGTTGCCCGGATCCAGCTGCTCAACAACGAGTTTGTGGAGTTCACGCTGTCTGTGGAGAGCACTGGCCAGGAGAGCCTTGAGGCTGTGGCCCAAAGACTGGAGCTGCGGGAGGTAAGCCCCCCAAAGGGCTGCAGGCATCTCTGGCCTGGCTTTGCTCCTTACTTCCCAGCTACTATAATTGCACGCTGGCTGTGTGTGTTCTCAAAGTATGCCCCTCCTGGCCATGCTATCAGTTGCCCCTGGACCAACCTTCCCCACCCCCCATGAGGAAGGATTTGATACAGAGCAAGAAGTCTTTCTTTGGGTGTGCTCCATAAGAGGATTAACAGTGCCTGAGTTTTGAAAATGTTTGTATGTTCTCCCAGAATGTAATCCAAAATGGAATAGGAATGCATTTTGGCATCTGAGTGAAGAAGCCATCTTGGAATTGGATCCTTCCAGGCCCCAGTCACCCAGATGGCATTTAGCCAAGTTCTCCCCAAATTCCTGATCTACAGAATTGTGAGCAAAATATAATGGTTGTTTTAACCCACTTGAAAAAAAAAAGAAGAATAAACTATCCAAGTTCTGGTTTTATAGTAAAATCTCAAATGGGCCATCCTGATTGAGGACAGTTTACTGACTTCACTCATTGAATGTTTGGTACAGGCCAAGCCAAAATTCTAGGGACGTATTGAACTTGAGTTCTGATTTCTTAATCAAGTAGTTGTTTAACCTTACATGAGTTAGGAGACCTGTCAGAGTTCCAGTTCCCTCAGCTGAACCATGGGGATAACAATGATGCCTATGGCTCAGAGTGATTGTGTGATTTAATATGCATACGAAGCCATAGTTCTAATAACTAGTCTGTTACAGTAGTCATAGGGAGGTTTGCCCTGGAAAACCCCAAATCCAGTCAGTAGGAAGTTATGGAGTCCTCAAGTATCCATACAGTATCTTACGTTTAAAACACTATGTAAGGAAGGCCTGTGAAGAGGCTCCAGTTAAACCTAGGACCTTTCCAGTCTTTGGCTGCCTGGTTCTCAGGTAAGAGAAAGATGGAGAAACTGGTTATTTCACTTAAATGTTTATGTTGTAGTCTTGACCGGAAATCCAGCTAATGCTGTAGTTCATGAAAAGCTGGCAGTAAACTGTGCCTCTGGTGATTGTCCAGTCATTTGATCAGTCAGTATTAAAGACCTGTTAAGTGCCTGTTAGGAGCTCACCCGAGTTTTGGTACGAGTAAGAAAACAGGCATGATGCAGGTGATGATAGAGGAAACAGAGTGTGCTATACAGTAGCACACAGTAGTACAGTAGAGAGGCAGCAAAGGGAAGGCTTCCCGGGGCAAGTGATGTCTAGCTGGGACCTGAAGGATGGGGCAGGTGGTTCTGTCGAGGGTGGGAAGATACTGTTCCACCAGAAGACATGGCTGAAGACATGAGTCAGATAATCTACCTGGAGCCTGAAGTTGGGAGAGGGAAGTGTCTGGAGCAGGGGCCACACAGTGAGAGGTTTTTGTTAACGGGTTTAGGCTTGTCCTGAAAGTAGAGAAGTTTGTGAAGGGTTTTTAAGCAGGGGTGTGGTGTGATTGTTTTTATGAGGAGTGAACCCCCTGGAGAAGGCTTAGAAAGGAGTAGTTGTGGTGCAGATGGTAGTCACTTGGATTTGGATTGGGATGGAGAGAGGTGGGTGGAGTCTGGAGATATTCAGGACCTATTTCTCAAGTGTCCAGGAAGGACTAGCCGGGGTCCAGGTTGATACTCAGGTTTCCAGGAAATGATGGGGACTGTAACTGAGGGAGGAAACACAAAAGGAAGAACAGGTTTGAGGGGAGTAAGGGCGGGTGTGGTGAGTTCAATTCTGGAAGCATTGAATTTGAGGTGCCAACTGGAGCTGTTTGGCAGGCAAAGCATGTGCAGGTGGGAGCTCAGGGAAGAGATCCAGGCTCGGGGGAGGAGATTTGGGCATCATCAGTCTAGGTCAGTTAACCTGGGAGAGGGTATGAGGCTGTCCAGGAGAGAAGAGGAGGATGTAGCAGACCCCTCTGGGTTGAATAGAGGAGGGAGAGCCTTTGAAGGAAACTGAAATGGAACAGCCCAAGAAGGAGAAATTAAACCAGGAGAGCCGACTTTAGTGACTGGTCCTGCCTACCTGCGTTTATTTCATCTTTTTTGCTTTCTTCACCCATTTTTCCTATTTTGGTTTCTTTTTTTTGTGATTTCTTCCTTATCCACCAAGTCTGCCTACAACCACTAGAGTCAACTTCTTGAGGATCTGTGGTTAATTTATTTTTGTACCCAAAGTAGTAGGCATGGAATGTGCTTAATAAATACAGGTTGAACTGAAGCATTACTTTGCTTCTCTGTTGGTCAGGAAGCCCAGAAAAGTTGCCATCCCTTGTTTGAGGTAGGTTATCAGACTCAGGAACAAGCACCTTCATATCGCTGTGGGTATACAGTGAGACTGATTTTTAACAGAAAGGTAGAGTGCTTTAAGTGAGAACAGGTATTAACCCTAGAAAATGTCGTGCCCCCGTCTTGCCCAGCTGTCCCACCATTTCCAACATTTAACTACGGTTAGGGTTAGAAAGTTAGTTTGTATAGCAAACTTTTCGAAGCTCCAGAAGCCCTGCTCTGTAGTGTGTAAACAGATGGCTTAGGCCCAGGCTTAATCTTACCCAATGATTGTTCAGAAATCCTCTGAGTCAGGGCAACACCTGTTCTTAGTTTGTGTCCATACATCACCTATGAGATTCATATCAAGAGATATTGGTATGTTATTTTGCACTATTCTCTCATCAAGAAAACTTAGAATTATCAAGGCATGTAGATTTGGCTGATAAGGATTGCTACTGCCCAAATTTAAGTTGGCAGGGAAATCTTCAATTTCCTTGCTTAGGTGAATACCATTTCACTTGTATAAGGACAATTTTAAGGGTTATACAGTAATACTGTTATAATGCTATATCCAGCATCTTCAACTATATGTATAGTATTTTATTTTTTAAGCTGAATGTGTGGGTAAATGATGTTTGTTTGTTAGTGTTCATAGTTTTTTGACTGTGTGAGACATTTTATAATGCATTACGGAACTAAAACAAAAGGTTAACATGTTTATAGCCAGTATAGTTAACTTAGATTGTTAACTTTTTTCTAAATCCACTACATTTGAACTATGGAAAGTGACTTTTGAAAATGGAAAAAAAAATTATTGCTGTAGGTAAATATTGCTGTTCTTTACAGCAACAGCCTCTCAGTTGTTGAAATTCCTTATCTCTCATTCATTGAGTTTCATAACCCTTTTTCCAAGAGAGGCTATAGAAATCTTTATAGGATTAAGGAGAATTAGAAAAACTTCCTCTCTAATTTTGAAAGCATGTTGCAGAGACTCGATGGAGATGGTGAGACCAGAGTGTGTCAGCTGGGCACGACCACTCCCATGGGGCAGTGTGTCCCTGAAAGGATATCACAATCTACAATGAGATGGTCAGGCTTAAAATTCTAGAGATGTTTCAGAGAGTAAGACCTGCATTATCCCAGCTCTTGGAGAATATGTCAAACCAGGATGCGAGTTTAGTAGTTTATGATGAGATAAGGAACCACCATGGGCCCCAAGTATGTGTGCCCTGGGGCCAGACCATGATCTCCTTGTAGGCAGGCTGTGTGGGACCCAGAGCAAACCAGAAGTTGCTTGTTGAGCATGGAATCAGAAGGGAGGTTGTCGAGAAGACCTTACATATTTTCACGGGGGAGTAGTGCCATCTCCAGGACCAGACAAGTTCCTTCGAGTCTAGGTGCCCTTTTTAGGCTGTGCTACGGTAGGCATTGCCTTTTGAGAAGTGGGTAAGACATTCGCCCTCTGGGTTAGAAACACCTGGGTTTGGGTCCCAGCCCTGTCACTTACTAGTTGTGTGACCTTGGGCAAATGACTTTAATTTCCAAAGTCCAGTGGTTTTTCATCTGTAAATCGGGGATTATAATGATATCTGTTTGACAGTGGTTGTGAGGATTCAATCTTAAGTGAAAATGCTTAGCAGAGGACCTGGGATTTAGGAAACTGAGTGTCATCTTCAGCACTGTTATTGTTTGTGACTCCCACTTCCATGTTGTGCTGACTGCTTCACATTCACTCTTTTCTTTTGTAAATAGCTTTGTTTCTTCCTTTTACTAACAGAACACATGCTTGTTTTATAAAATGTTTTTATAGTACAAATAAGTAGTTGCTGCTGGTAATTGCACTTCTTATATTATTAAACTTTTTTTAGTATACCATTGTAATTTAGCAGTCATATTTGGGGGGAAGGTAATTAGGTTTGCTTATTTATTTATTAATGGTGGTACTAGGGATTGAATCCAGGACCTAGTGCGAGCTAGACGCGCCCTCTACCACTGAGCTATACCCTCCCCAAGCAGGCATATTTGAACCTCTTTTCACGCCAGCTGAAATTAATTTGTACAATGTCACTGCCTCATTGTCCTCAGAACTTCAGGAACTTTTTACTTCTGTTAGGTATTATGTCTCTGTTTCTTCCCTCTTGCCCTCAACCTAACCCTAGGATTAGAAAAAAAAAAGTTTTATGAAATTTTGGATTAAAGATTTATGTTTTTTCTCAGAGTGTGTCTTTTTCAAGAATCTTTTTTAAATCTTACATTACATTTGATAATTACACTTTTATCATGCTCTCATGGGTTTTAATTAGATGCATCGCAAACTATCACTTCTTATATAGGGCTTCTTCCTTTATCTTAATGTCCTTGTTCAGCTTAAATTTACATCTGTTTGGAGTTTTTATTATAAATTTTTAAATTTCCAGTTAGGAAACAGGAAGTTATAAAATCTTGGGAGCCTTTGGAAGATAGCTTTTTCCTGTTTTGGCTATGATACATTATGTGTTAGTTTTATAGCTTAAGTTTTAGGGGGCAGCCTTCTTTCAGCTATTTCTGATTGCTCTGTGTGTGCAGAAGGGAAGGAGGATCCTCACTGTCGTCGACATACGTGGTGTACATACGGAACATTTTCAAATAGCAGTTTTGAAGTTGAGGTCAATACTAAGCCACCCTTCAGGTTACCACCAAAGCATTTGTTGAAAAAGGTGAAAAGCCTAGCAAAACTTAGAAGTTCTTACTGTG